CCCCCCTACTTCCCCGTCCTCTTTGGGCACCCTGGACCCGAACCACCCCTCCCCCTTTGACGGCGCCCGTGCTAGCCTTGCTAGCCGTTCGCCGCCTTCTAACGCGGACTTCCCCCTACGCCCTCCACTCACGCGGACCTCTTCTGGCCCCCTCCAGTCCGGTCCGTCATCTTCCCATGGCCGACGGTGCGTCACACGCCGTCGACACGGCGATGACCACGGCATCGGGCTCCACACCCGTGCCGGCGGACCAGGGCCATCAGCCCCAGGGGGATCTACACACCCTCCTCACCTCCCTCCTCGCGCCCATCCAGGCGCAACTCGCGACCCTCGGACCCTTACAGACGCAGGTGGCGACCCTTGCCGCCGGCATGCAGCAACTCCAGGACGCTGGTCATCCTTCCTCTCCTCATCCTCTCTCTTCTACTGGCTCTCAGTCCGGGTCCCCAGTTCTCCGACAGGGTGGCCACGGCGGAGTTTCCTCCTCTGCCGCCCCCGACCCGGCCATTTTGGTGACCGTCCACGCCCCTAGCTCGACGGCCGCCACGAGTCAGGCCCTTCCTCAGTCTATGGGCGTACCGGCCCCAATTCCGGTTACGACGGCCACGGGACCACAACCCGTTACMATGGTCTCAGCGTTTCCGGGTGCCCCGCGCCTCCCCCCCCTTCGCACGACCGCAGCGCCACCTGGCTCTCCCCCCTCTGGGATGCCCCGCGCCGCTTGTGCATCCACTTCCTCCACTCTTCCCCCTGCTACCCCTCGCACGACCTACGTTCGGGGTCTCAAGGACGAGATTGCCCAGCTCCGGGCCAACCTCGCCCTCTTACGCCTTCAGCCACCCCCACCCTCACATGTGGCCGCGCCTTCGGGCACACCCCCTACCTCCTCTACCCTTCCTCCCATGCAGGCTCGCTTTCCGCGCCCTGCACCCTATACAACTCCTTCCTACCTTCTTCTTACTCTCGCAGTTGCTGCTACCTCTTCTACCGCAGCACCCTTGCAGCCTGCCGCTGTTGCCACTGCCGTTCCCCCATGCGGCCCGGGCGCACAGTCAGCTGCGCCCCTTTCTCTAGGACCTGCGCCGACTTACTCAGCCGTGGCACAGGCCTCCGCTCCTCGATCCCCTCGCCGCCAAAACGGTGGCGCACCACTCATCCGCTTGTCGGACATTGCCTTGTATGACGGTAAGGGCATACGCGTGTCTCGGTGGCTGCAGTCTGCCACCCGCACACTCCAGCTCATGGGCGCCACACCCGAGACGTGGGTGGATTACCTCTCCACGCGCCTGCGTGGCGGTCCTTTCGAGGCCTGGGAGGATTTCTATGCCTACTTCCTTCGTGAGGGTCGGACTCTGACCTTCGTGGATTTCCAGGCGTTCCTCGAGGATCGCTTCGGAGCCCGATACGAAGTGACTGACGCCTTCGAGCGTGTCGTCACTACACGCTGGTCCGGCTCTGGTGGCGCTGCCGGCCTGGATCGCCACATCCAGGTCTTTCAGGACGCCCGCCTCGTTTGCGACGTGGC